GGGGGCGTGGGTGGGTGTGGGGTGCCCCCATAGCAGCCGCCTCCCCGGGGCACTGTTTGGGCTCTGGTTTGGCTGGGGCTGGGGGGGCAACAGCATTTAGCGGTTTTGGCCAGGCTCTCCCCCAAATTGGGTCAGCCCCACCAGCTCCCTCTCCTCTCCGTGGAGATCAGAGATCCAGCCCCCTGGATAAGGCAATGCCAGGTCCCTGGGGAGGGGGCTGCGTGGCCCCTGAGCAGGGGAGCAACCCCATCCCCTTCCCTGCCTCAGTTTCCCTTCTCTTGTCCCCCAGGAGCTGGGTTTGCTTGTAGGGCAGGGATGGAGCGGGACAGAGCATCCCTGGCAGCTGGGGCTGGGGGGCAGAGCTGTCCCCTGTGTCCTGGGGCTCCAGCGCTCCCCTCCTGCCCCTCCTCTCCTCTCCTCAGGGCAAGTACAGCAAGCGCAAGAGCCGCTTCAAGCGCTCGGATGGCAGCACCTCGTCCGACACCACCTCCAACAGCTTCGTCCGGCAGGTGAGCAGTGAGGGGGGGCAGCTGTCTTGGGGGGTCCTGGGGGACCTGCCTGCCTGCGGGGGCCCTTGTCCGCCCAGGGATATAGGAGGGGGGGTCCAGGTTTGCAACTGAGCCTGGCCTCGGGGGGGTAGTGTGGACATTGCAATGGCTGAGCCAGACCTGGCTGTGCCCCCTGTCCCCACTCTGCCCTGCAGTGGCTGCTGGGGGGAGTCGTCCCCCCCTTATTGAGAGCATTTGGGATCCTATAACCCCCCCAGGGGTTCTTTGCCCCTCCCTGCGGGTGCCAGGCAGGAGACACAGCCCTGGCATCACCCAGCTGCGTTGGCCCCGGCGCCCTCCCGTCCCAGCTTGACAGCTCTGCCCTCGGTGCGGGATCCCCCTCGGCTCCATGGGGGTTGGAGCAGGTGGTCCCAGGAGCTGGTGGGACCCATGAGGTCTGCAGGGTGAGGGCATCATGCCTGGACCCTGAGTGACCCCTCCCAAAAGTCTCCCCAGTCTCGACATGGGGCTGGGGGGCTCAGGAAGGGCCAGACCCCTAGCAGCGGCAGGAGATGGGGCAGTTGGTCTCTGCCCTATGGCTTTTGGGGAGGGGGTCCCTTGGGGGTCTGCTGCCCCATGGCCAGGGGGTAGGCGCCTGTGCAAAGGAGGGCGGCTCCCACCACCCTAGTGTTTGGAAAGGATAGGGCAAATCGGGACTGGGGGTTCCAACAGCCTTGGGGGGCTCTGGTGGGCCTTAGGGGATTATAGAGGGGCTGGGTGGAGCAGCCCCCCCAGGGCTGTTGGTGCCTTTGCCATACCCCATGGCACCCACTGCCCCGGGGCTGGGGGAACCCATGGGTCTCCCTGCTGCCCCCCACCCAGACTTCGGCCCCATGGGGCTGGGGGGTGTGGAGAGGGTCTCCGATCCCACCCCAGCTCCAGCCTTGTCCTGGGCTGACCCCGAGTCGCCCCACAGTGCCCTTTCCCCATTGCCATGGGACCCCTTGGCAGGGGACACTGCTGTCCTCTCTGGCCTTCCCTTGGATGGGGGACAGCCGGGGGGGGGTGGGCAGGCATGGG